AAGGAGACAGAAGTTTGCACAATTAATGTGCAAAACTGAAAAGAAGATTTTAGAATACTATTCAAACATTTAACTTTGTGATAATCCAACTCCTTCATTCATTTATTTATTCATTCATTCGGTGCCTGTTTAGGACCTCTTTAGGTTGCTTATCCAAGAGAACCAAACTGTCGTAAAATTAATAAGAAATGTTTGAGTCAGAGACTTTGCTGATTGTTCATACTGGGTTGGCATTATTATACGGAAAACCCCCAACCTCACTCTGAAAGGTAAAATGTTGGCAATTAACATTTAAAGGCAAAATGTACATAGATGCCAGAAATATTTTTTAAAGCATGCCGCCTCTGCAGTGGGTATAAATAAAATAAAAATATCAAACATCAAACTGCTCTCATTTCCTGAGCCTTTAATACCAGCATGTTGAACACCTTGAAAGCCGTCTGCAAACCTGCAGGATAATCTGTTAGAGGGATAAAAAAAAACACATCTTAAACCTTTTTTTGTGGCTCGTAAATGCCAGAGTGCTCATGACCTCATCATTTTGTCAGGTTGTCAAGTTAATTTCCGTTTCTTTTTTTTATTTATTTATTCTATATTTAATGCATGAAGGCAGCTGGGACTAGATGTTACACAAAAGTGACAAGCAGAGCAAACAGACATGATGATATTACCCTGCGAAATCAGGAGAACATCCTCATCTACTATAAATGCATTAACACAAGGCTGGTTTTTTATATATTCTGATTTTAAAATTAATATATTTTTTAGTAGGGATGAGAGGCTTTAGACGCACATAGAAATCCTGCTTCCAGAGTTTGGTTTAAAACTCATCTGAAGGCTAAAATTAAACAATTGCCTGTTTGGTTTTGACAGGTGGATGAGGGGAGGCCCCAAAACTAAAAAAAACTGATGCTTTTCCTGTCAGTGAACACATCACATCCAATAACTGTCTTCAGTGTTTAGTATTAAAACCATGGAGAGAAGAGATATTTGGCTGCTTTAGACTTATATTTTCCTCCATAAATATTTTTTTATACTTTTTATATAAAAACACAATTTTAAAGTTACCCATGTCTAAGTTGTATCAGCTTAATCAAACCGACATGTTGACAGACATTTTGATGAATCTCATTACTTCTTCCTTTAGCATCAAATGACCCATAGAGTTCAATAACTGATTAATTTTCTGTATTTTTAGGTGGTTTTGCTACAATTTTCAAGGCCTTTTGAAGCCAAATTTGGCTGCTTAAAAGGAAAACATTCATAACTCCCACTGTGTTTTTTTTAAACTTATTTATAAGGTCAGTAAATCTCTGCAGTGCAAGTGCAATAAACGTGCAGATATTTTTATATCCAAGGGAAACATATTCCAAGACATTACTACTTTTTTTTCTCTTTTTTACTGCTTTTTTGTACTATATATACTCTTTTTATACTGTTTGTTGTATGTTTATCTTTAAAATACTCATTTAAAAAAAAAAAAAGGAATATGTTTGGGCATTGCTTTAGGTTCTCATTTAGTTTGTTCCACAATTTAACTCCGCAAATTGATAAACACAATCTTTTTCTAGAACAACAAGAAAAAGATGATGTTTCTCAATTTGCGGAGTTAAATTGTGGAACAAACTAAATGAGAACCTTAAGCAATGCCCAAGCATATTCCTTTTCAAAAAATTGCTTCTGTCTCCTTGAACCCCAGTCGGCCTCAGCAGATGGCCGCTCACACTGAGCCTGGTTCTGCTGGAGGTTTCTTCCTGTTAAAAGGGAGTTTTTCCTCTCCACTGTTGCTACAAGCATGCTTAGCTTGTGAGGGATTGTATTTGAGTCAATGAGTCAATGCAATCAACTGGTTTTCCTTAGATGGAAAACTTTGAATCAATTTGACTGGATGATCTGGTGAACTGTAAAGTGCCTTGAGATGACATGTGTTGTGAATTTGGCGCTATATAAATAAACTGAATTGAACTGAATTGAATTGAAAATGTACAAAGAAATTATTTTCAAAAGGTATAGAGAAGCATCGTAGAAAGTTTTGTTTGTGTTTTTTGTTTTGTTTATTTGTATATATGTATGAAGGTATATGTGTACTGTATACATATTTATGTATGTATATGTGTAGGTATATATATATATATATATATATATATATATATATATATATATATATATATATATATGGATATTTATAGCAACGTAATTATAAATATTGTAAATTGAAGAAATACAAGAATTAAAGGCGTAGGAGTAGATAAGTTTTACTTCTTCCTACTCCTTTTCGCACATGTAATAGAGGTATATTAACTCAGGAAATAAAGGGTACCTTGTTTGTTGTTTTTCTCTCCAATGTCTTTAAACATTGTTTTATTGTTTTTCTCTTGCATGTTCGAAATAAAGAATACAGAAAAAAAAAAAAGGCATCTTGCTTTAACTCTTTGTACTCTATATAACCAGAATATCCCTGAAGGAGTAATCCTAAGGGATAAATAAAGTTTGATTCGAAGTCTAAGTCTATATTGATGAAAATGAGACTCATGCAAAGACAGAAACACCAGGAATCAAATAATAAAGTCTTAAACATGTTGCCATACCTTCTCTCTTGTTGTTGCGAAGACATTTGACTTTAGGCAGTTTGGTGAGAAGCTGGCAGTCGCTTTCTGAAAGTAAGAAGAAGACAAATAAAAATAAACCAAAAACATAATAAATGTGAGGAATCCTCCAGGGAAGCGGGATGTAGCGGTCCATGTGACGTCTGTCTTTGATGCACTGCAGGGGTGTTAACAGTTCCCTAAAACACTCCTCAGCAGCGGGACAAACATTCAGAGAGATCTGCTTGATAAACTGGACGCGTGTCTGGGAGACGTTTGGCTGATGGTGAGCTTCCTGATTCATTTTGACGTACATCATCAGAATCATTGGAAACGTTCCACTAGATAAACCTAAAATTCATCAGACTCCACATTTACAGTCTGCTGAAAGTAAAACGGTCGACTTTGCTAAGCTGCTAATTATATTGGTTAATATTTTTAAAACTATACCCCAGATTAAAGTTCTGTGTTTAATGTCTGTCTGTTTAATCCAGCTCACTGTTTGTTTTGCACGTCTTCCATCTTCGGTTGTGTGCAGCACATCAGTCCCCATTCCTGATTACATCTTTTCTCTGGCCTCATCTGTCTCTATAATTACCTCACAATCTAAATGTGGCAGTATTTAACCTCCATCACTCCGATTCTCACTCCTGCTGCCTCCTTCATGTCTCCATCCATCCTGAGCGCCTGGCAGCACAGTGACTAAGGACTCAGGAAACGTAGGAAATGACATCAACAGATGGAAGCTGCTCCCAGAATACTGAGAAAACATCCTTAGTTGTTTTCACATTTATGTTTTAGCTTAACTTTAGATCTTTTTTTAACTTTATTTGTTCTGTAATCGAAATTCCGGGGTGATGATAATAAAATCTGAAATAACTTTCAGGATCTGGAACTAATTGGTTCATGGGAAGAGGATCTTAGTTTGTTTAAAGCAAAGCTTTTGGTTTAATTCAGGTGCTTCAGCTTTTAATTGGATCTCATTGTTCTTTCTATTAGAAATTAAATCTGAAATCATTAACTTTGTTTAATTTAATTGCATCACCAGAAGACATTAATATTCATGTAGGGTGATGATAACAACAGATTTAATAAAGCTGCCTGCCGTCTATCATGGTGTTTTTTTATAACTCATAACTCGCTTAAACTAAATAACTACAATTTTCCACGTTTAAAAACCAATGCTGATAGGTTTAATATTGATAGACTATATATATATATTATTAATAAATATTCTCTGTTAAAGAAGACATCCATTTGTTTAAAAATAAAGTCCTACAACTTTCAATAATAATTTATGTTCAAACTTTTTGTAAATTGTATAATTTCTACAACTCAAAATCTGTCCAAAAATGATTTATTATTACTTAAAAATCCTTATCAGATCGCTTTTATAGAATAAAGTTGTTACTGTGATGGAAACAGAAAATATTTAAATGTTTTAAAAGACAATATACTTAGCCATCAGTTTATAATAAGTAAACATTAAAATATAAAACATTTTCAAAGCAAACAATATTGAATCTTAAAACTTTAAAAATAATCCAGGAACAGCGTGATGCCGATATGTTGACTGTGACACAGGATGTCAGATCTGTGCTGAGTGGAAAGATATCAGTGGAATTTAAACAGCTGTATATTATTTTGGTTTTTATTACAGTAAATCCCAGCCTGAACTGAAATAAACAGAAGCTTTCTTTAGTCAGGTGACGCTTATATCTAAGCTTGAAATCAAACTGGCTTCATAAATCCTCCTTAATCAGAGCACCAGCAGAACATCAGGGATCCAATAGACTGATGTCAAAATAATTGTTGAGGCATTGGCCCTAAAAAACCTGCATCGCTCGATCTCTACCATTAATGAAAGCTCTGCACATGATTTTAAGGAAAGGCTGCTGAATGCACTAATGTATCGACCAAAGATTGCATAAAAAAGATGAAACTATCAGCCATAAACATTGGTGGGCTGATGAGTCGATTCATCTCTAATTAATACTCAGCACCAGAAACATGAATATAAATGTAGAAGTGATTTAAAGTCAGTTAATGAGTAATTTATTTTAAATTAGTAGAATCTGATTTTAAATGGGAGATAAAAAAAAAAATACAGACTTAGACTTTATTTGTCATTTTGTACATACAAGTATATATAAAAAGATATTTCATTCAGTGCAGCTTTAGAGACATTTTCATTATTTTTTTTTTTTTTTTAAGGTGCAGCCTTGATAAAGGTAAGCAGCAGTGATAATGTTAACATATGACTGTATAGTTACAGTTCGAACATTCAGGGTTTTTATTTCTTTTTATTATTTTTTTATTTTATAACCTCATTTTATACAACATTCAGCAGTCTAATAGCAGTGGGGAATAAACTGTCCTGGAAACTTTCCTTTTTGATAAAGCTTCTAGTTAGAGTGGCTCAGGTTATCCTGAGCTATCTCTATAGTTATTCTGCAATAGGCTTAGACTGCTGGAGGACATAGGGACCCCTTTTTCATCAATTTGTTTCATTCTATCTCTATTCTTCCACTCTGCAGAATCTGTTTGTTCAATCTCTAACGTTCTGCTCTCTCTGCTTTTTCTAATAGTAGCTTCACCTTGTCTGTTGCTGTTTGGCTGTGACACCATCCTAGAGAGAAATGTCAGCTGTGCTGCTACCATCAACACCTTTGTTTCTAGATGTTGGTGCTTGGCCTGTTTTCCAGTGTAGTCCTGTTGCTCTGACTGTGACTGGCTGGATGTGCTCTCTTCATCCTCTGACTTGGGAGCTGGCTCAGAGCTCGTCTGCCTTGCTGTGTGTTTTCCCACCTTTTCTAGCTGCTTGCTGTATCTCTGTTTCTGTCTCCTTGAACCCCAGTCGGCCTCAGCAGATGGCCACTCCCATTGAGCCTGGTTCTGCTGGAGGTTTCTTCCTGTTAAAAGGGAGTTTTTCCTCTCCACTGTCGCTACAAGCATGGTTGGTGTGAGGGATTGCCATCGAGTCAAGGAGTTGATGCAATCAACTGGTTTAACTTTGAATATATTTGACTGTATGATCTGGTTGAATTGTAAAGTACTTGAGATGACATGTTGTGAATTGGTGCTATATTAGTGCTGTCAAAATTATCGCGTTATTAACGCGTTAACGCGAGGCCATTTTAACGGCGATAATTTTTTTAACGTGAGATTAACGCTATGTGGTTTTATGGTACAATTTTCCAAGTACANCTACTTTTAAGGCTAGGCTTAAAACTTTCCTTTTTGATAAAGCTTCTAGTTAGAGTGGCTCAGGTTATCCTGAGCTATCTCTATAGATATGCTGCTATAGGCTTAGACTGCTGGAGGACTTAGGGACCCCTTTTTCATTAATTAGTTTCATTCTATCTCTATTCTTCCAATCTGCAGAATCTGTTAGTTTAATCTCTAACGTTCTGCTCTCTCTGCTTTTTCTAATAGTAGCTTCGCCTCTTCTGTTCCTGTTTGGCTGTGACTCCATCCTGGAGAGAAATATCAGCTGTGCTGCTGCCATCAACACTTTTGTTTATAGATGTTGAGGATCGGCCTATTTTTCCAGTGTAGTCCTGTTTCTCTTACTGTGACTAACTGGATGTGCTCTCTTCATACTCTGACACGGGAGCTGGCTCAGAGCTCGTCTGCCTGGCTGTGTGTTTTCCCGCCTTTTAGAGTTGCTTTTTGTATCTTTGCTTCTGTCTCCTTGAACCCCAGTCGGCCTCAGCAGATGGCCGCTCACACTGAGCCTGGTTTGGTGGAGGTTTCTTCCTGTTAAAAGGGAGTTTGTCCTCTCCACTGTCGCTACAAGCATGCTTAGTGTGAGGGATTGCCATCGAGTCAAGGAGTTGATGCAATCAACTGGTTTTCCTTAGAGAGAAAACTTTGAATATATTTGACTGTATGATCTGGTTGAACTGTAAAGTACTTGAGATGACATGTGTTGTGAATTGGTGCTATATAAATAAACTGAATTGAACTAAAACCTGCATTGGATGCTTCAAAGTCTCTTTCCAGAGGGCAGCAGGGAGAACAGTCCATGGTGGGGGTGTGGGGGTAATTTAAGATGTTACGGACTCGGGACAAGCAGCTGAAATGTCTTTAATTGAGGGAACAGGAGCCCCAATGATCCTCTTTTCTGTTCTCACCTTCTTCCAGTCTGAGGAGCTGCAGCCTCCTCATCACACAGTGAGACAGCTGGTCAGAACGCTCTCTATGGATCCTCTGTAGAAGGTGGGGAGGATGGGTGGGGACAGGTGGGCTCATCCTCCGCAAGAAGTACAGCAATTACAGTTCAGCAATTGTTCTTTTCATATATTTGTTATTTCAAAGCTGTTTCATTTATTCTTTTTTTTTTCACATTATCTACAATATCTAAGAGTCATGGCGGAGTTTCCATAAACTGATGTTCGATTTAAGTAAAACTGATTGAAATCAATAAATTCTTTTATTACTAATTTGGTGCTAACAGTTATTTCTGTATAATTCTGGATGTTTCTCTTGTTTCTTCAGTGCTTTCCGCTCAGACGTTGTGTGTTTCTGAAGATGTGAGCATGAACACTTTGAAGCGTTTTAATCTCCAAACTAAAACCCAGCTGCTGTGGACATATTTCTCCATGTGACCTGCTATGTAGGTCTCATCTCTGTTATCTCTGACCTGGAAGAATCCTGCAACATGTGTCTCCATGGTTCTGAGTGTCTGTGTGCAGCTGAGACTCACCGTTGTTGCTAAAGTCGTCCACCAGGATGATCTCATGTATCAGATGAACCGGAGTCCGATTCAAGACACTGGAAAGAAAAAAACAAAAAGAGAGTCTTAGTTAAATATGCATAAATGCATCTCGAACAGGAGCCTGGAAATGTACAAATTAAAAACAAAGTGTCAAAGTAAATGCCAACCAGCAGACACACTCACGTTCTCAGGTGTTCATAAAGCCATTACATATGCACAGCACACCACATGAAACAACATATTGAAAATGTCAGAGCAAATTCCCGTTATGAAAATGTATGATGTGTCGCATCTAAAAAACTATTTCATTAAAGCTGGAGATTGAAACATAAAAAATTCATAACTTTTACAGGAAGAAAATGAGAAAATGCGTTTTGTTCTGGGTGGGTTTGTGCTCGATTTTATTTCATTATTTCTACTGTTCAATAACCTTTGTTCATTATCCCCTCTGGATATGACTGCAGAGGGAGGAGAGGGGAGCAGGACGAGAGGGAAAAAGGGTTGGAAAAAAACGAGAAGGCGAGGGGGGAATAAAAAAAAAAACAGGATAAAGATGTGATTAGAATAATGCCTGGAATGGATGGGAAGGAGGAAGTAATAAAAAAAGAGGTAAGGCAACGAGTGGGAGGCGTGTTCAGAAAATGATGAAAGCATCAGATTATGCTTAAAATCCAGGGAAAAGGGGCAAAGGAAAAGAAATGATGCAAAAGAGGAAGAAACAGTCAGGAGGAATCAAGCTTCCTGGAAAATAGAAATGAGGTTCAAGGGAAAACAAAACAAACGAGACAGTAAAAAGGATTTGGAAAGAGCCAAGAGGGCCGTTATTGAACCTTTAACATCTCTGAGGAGAATTTGGAAAACATAAAACCATCCCATCATCATGCAGCGCCTCTAAAAACCTTCACTGGTGGAATCTTTTAACATTTTGTCAAATTACAGAATTTTTCAGCGTTTTTATCTTGGATAATATGTAATAAACTAACACAGATAAGTGCATAATTGTGAATTGGAAGGACAGAGTTCTCCCCCATTACTCCAATACCCCTGCATAAAAACTAACCTTAGTCGTCAGTTTATCAGTAAATCAGCTGATCGCTTCATCTCTGTATAAATGTGGTTGTTTGTCTCTGGCCTCAGAAGTTTATTAGAGAACAAACGGCATCATGAAGAGCAGGAAACCCTTACAGTTAGAGCAGGGTTAGGTTGTAAAACGATCCCACAAACATCAGAGCTCTGTTCCCATATAGCAGACATCCCCAAACTCGGTCCTCAAGGGCCGCTGTCCTGCAGGTTTTAGATTCTCTGCTCTAGCACAGCTGATTTTAATTGATAGTTGATTAACAGGCTTTTGCTCTGCCATTTCCTTTATAATCAGCTGTGCTAGAGCAGAGAATCTAAAACCTGCAGGACAGCGGCCCTTGAGGACCGAGTTTGGGGATGTCTGCTATATGGGAACAGAGCTCTGATGTTTGTGGGATCGTTTTACAA